ATCCCATAGATCCTCATTCAAAATATTATAAATTGAAGCTCCGTTGACCTTCCGCATGTGTACACTACACAAGTGTGCATTTGACCAAGCATTTTAAAAATCGGAGCGTACGAAAAGGGCCATATTAACTTGCTGGTTTCAAGTTATCAATAGATACATGACATGTTGAAGAATCTTGTTGCTGAGACTAGACAACTGTAGCTTGCTTTATTCAAGAATAATAACTTTTCCAATTTAAAGTATGTATATTCCCCCGCTTAAAAATAGCATCTCCAATGTTGATTATCTCATGAAGTATGCATTTCCAATGTAATGTTCCCACTAAGAAGTTGCTCCAATATCATTATTCTACAACATATTTAAGTTTGACGAGATTCTAATTTTTTTTACCTATGAGGACCTGGATGTACAAAATGTTTTTTAATTTTGAGGTTTTCGACTTTTGGACGATCGAACATCGATTTTTGAAAAAGTGATGCTAGAGCTTTGAAATTAGCAAGTTAGTATAACGAAACTTTGCGTAGAAGACGATGGTGTGATTGGATTTTAGATAGGAAGAGATGTGGTTGAGGAAAGTGAGATTTTTGAAATGTGCAAATTATGAAGAGATAAAAATTGCCCACGTCCTGTTTTTCTGAACTGGTTAGTTTATGTCCCTTTTATGCCACAAATTTCAATAGTTGTATGGCTCTTTCTTCTATTTCAAACTGGTTCTGGAGAATAGTCTTGAGTTCTTCTTTTGACAGATTATCCGCTCACAAGTGGGTAAATCCAATAAATGGAAATGATTACTTGGTTCTGCTGCTACCAAATGTCGTGTGTAGAGAGAGAATCTTTATCTCAATTCTATTCTTTTATATACATTTATCTAAGTCTACTCTAAGACTATATCTATACACACTGTTTAGAATAACGAAATATAGACAGAGTAAATACAATTAGAACTGAATATATTTATTATGTTATTCCAAGATTGAATAATGATCAAAACTAGTGTAGATATCAAAGGTATTTATAGTTATTTGACAGTGCCGCAGCAATAGAACCTTGATCTTGAATGCGGGATAATTGTATAAGCCTTGAACCAGTAACGAGGATGTGCTGCATCAGAACTCATGAACCACCAGTCAAGGATAAACAACAAAGATGATCCAGGATAGAATGTTCTTCCTAATAGCTTTGACGGAAGAACATTTGTCGGAATTGAAACCCACTTCCAGGGACGAAAGGCCATAGGCTACCACTCTCTAGGAACCAGGATATAGATTAGCCATTTGATGGCACAACTCATGTTCCTTCGTGCTGCTTGAATAAAGACCTCTCACTTCTACTATGCATCTCAGCTCATTCTCAGATCCTCTTATGTAATAAACGACGCCTAATACATTTGCCTCCCAGAGATGATCTATATCCTAAACACACACGACACTACACTATTTTCAGAAATTATTGGGACATTTTTAAAAAAAATTGGTACTAATTCTGAATAAATATTGGGTCTATTTATAATTAAATTTGGGACAAATCTTGAACTATTTTGGAACACTTGCCTAATTAATATTGGGACACTTATAAAAAACATTGAGACATTTTCAGAGAAAGTAAAATTCATTTATTACAATGGCTCTTTCGCCAAACAAACATCGAATTTCTTAACAGAGTAGCGAGCAGAACCTTCAAGATCACTGTACAATACATCATTGCATGCATCGGTAATCCTGGTCGAAAGTGTTTCAGTTTTTAAGAGCCTCTCCCTCTTGAGTTTACTCTTGACCACATGCCAGAATTGCTCAATAGGATTAAGCTCAGGGGAGTATTGTGGGAGGTAAACACATCTGTAACCTCGCTGAATGATATACCTCTCGATATCCTTGGCTGTATGGATGGGTGCATTGTCCATAACAAGATAAAAATCTTTGAATTGCTCATGCTGGTCCATGATATCAATCGTTTTCGCAATAAAGTTAAAGTAGTGACCAGTTACAGTACCCACAGTTGTTGTTGCTTTTCCAGAAGAAGTGCCAGCTAACTTTCTTTTCTTGTTGGATGTTCCAGGCAACCTCACTTGAACATTTAACACTCCCCATACGCTAGTTGCGCCAATAATAGTGGTAGTTTTCGCTCTTGTTTGAGGTACAGGCACTTCAGCTCGAGTTCCTTTCTCTGACCAAGCCATTGTTCGCTTCAAGTTAATATGGAAAGCTGACTCATCAATGAAAACACAGTTAGACATGTAATCCATGTCGGTTTGGCTCCATTTGACTACCCAGTCGTACCGGTTTTGAATGTTTTCAGGCGAGTTTCTTTCTTTGGAATGGAAATGAGCTTTCTTGAAAGTCAAGGCAAGATCATTGGTCATGTAGTTGTAAATAGTCGTTTGGTTGATAGTCAAACCCGAGAAAGCCTTAACAAGACTCTCATGAGCTTGTTCGATTGTTACTGATGGATTATCTTCAAATTCTAGTTTTAGGTGCTTCGTATGGTCTTCGTTCAAAATCTTTGGTCGACCTGCTCTCTTAACTGGCTCTTCATCGTCCTCAATTTCTTTGTTAACCTTTTTTTGATCCTCTGCGTACCATCTGTAAGCGGTTGTTCTTGATATATGGCCGTGCGCTTTCCAAGCTTGATTAGGATTCATGCCATGGTCGTAGATAAGGATAAAAAATCTTGCCTTGTCTTTGTCTGTGTAGCTGTTATATTCAGTCTTGGGCACATTTTTCTTATTTTTAATCTTTTTCTCTTTTAGTGCGGTCAATTCTCTTTCAGGTGGCTTCCTATCAACATAAGTATTGTAGTTGGTAATGTTACCGAGAGGGAAGGCTTCGTTGTCTACATCCATTTCAACAGCTTCGTTTCCATGCCCATCGACTGGAGCATTTATTCCGTCTTCGTAGTAAATTCTGATATCTGACATGTTATGAATAACGAAGAAAGCGACTATGATTTCATCTCAAATCCCATTTAGTTTTGTCTCATTATAATTTCGAAAAGTGTCCCAATATTAATTAGGCAAGTGTTCCAAAATAGTTCAAGATTTGTCCCAAATTTAATTATAAATAGACCCAATATTTATTCAGAATTAGTACCAATTTTTTTTAAAAATGTCCCAATAATTTCTGAAAATAGTGTATATCCAATATTTCAACACTTGTCAGGTACACATACTCTTTGTGTGTAACCTTTTAATTTAGTATAAATATCAAATCAGTTTGCAAAACAATAAAGATAATCTTTTATCTCAATTCTATTCTTTTGTATACATTTGCCAAGGTTTACTCAATAACCATATCTCTATTAACGACACACGCAACAATGCTTATGTAAGCAAAAATGAATTATAAATAAAAGTGAAAAGAGTGGGATTTGAACCCACGCCTCCGAAGAGATCACGACCTTAACGTGACGCCTTAGACCAACTCGGCCATCTTTCCTGTTACATTTTACAAAGCTGTATACTAAATATATCAAGAAAAATACTTTATGTTGAGTGTCCCCTGATATCTTCCTACTTTCAGCATTGATTGTTTAAGTAACTACTGCCCTTTTGATTCTATGATACCTAGTGAATATTTGATTCCATGAGATATACAGCGACAGAGGTAATTTGTTCTACTGTTGTGGTCATATTTGGACCTAAAAAATTGATGGCGGGCAGCAACAGATGCAAGTTGTAACATTTGTACTTGGAGCTCAACCTTAAAGACCACAAACAATTCCAAGCTGATTAATGGCAGAGATGAAAGGATAAATTATTTTGTATATCAAATTACTTGGGTAACCCTGCTTGGCTTTGCCTTTTACTACTATGCTTTTCTTCATTGTAGAAGCGATAAACTCTACCTACTTGAGCTAATAATAAGCTGGCAGGCTACTATTACACGGTCTTCAATCTATTGCTTTGAGTAAATCCCATAAGCCTGCGCATTGAATCTAATGAGTTGGTGATCTGGCAAATATGAATACACAGAGTTATGTTTTATTACAATTCCCTTTCACTCTTCCCTTGTATTTCATTACATTTGCCCTCATTTGGCTCAACAACGTCCTGTGTATATTTATACGGCTTACAATAGATATTTCATTTACGTTTTTAATTTACATGTTGCTTCCTTAATGATATTCTTTAATGTCAAATGCCAAACTTAGCAGAATGCTGTGATATATAAGCTCGCTTTCACTGATATTTCAAGGTTTGAAATTGCTTCTCGAAAACTTAAAATTTCAGACTCTGTACTCAATGCCATCACATGAAACTGTTGCTTTACAAGCTCTCTCTGTTTTTATAAGTGCTAGATCATATCTTTGTTGTTTTGCTTGTCTTCTGTTTGTGTGTATTAATAAAGGTACTATCGAGGTTTTCAATTTACATTTACATGGCAAGATTTTTTACTCACTTGCCATTCACACAGTCCAGATGGTTTGATTTCTACTACTAAAATGTGGTTGCAATTCGCTAGTTCAAACAAATTTCTCAGTAAAATTGCTCATCATACAAATTGAGCGATAGCAATACCTCAAGGCGTTAATAACACAAGTGGTTGTTAACCACAGTGCGCAATGTGTCTTTGTTGATACTTCCAGCAGAGAATATGATATTCATCTTATTCAGCTTTCCACATCAGAACCGATTATCTCCTCACACCTTACGAGTATTACTTGCTGGAAGTGATCAGCATTGGGATTAGCATACGCAAATAACTTTGTATTTCTTGTCAACAGATTGCCAGCAGGTACACTGCTTCTATAGGGTCATTTGGTAAGTTGGGATTTTCCGCAATCTACTCGGATTGACCCCAGACTACGGTAGCGTGCCCCCCCCCAACTTCTACTTTTGAATCTGCATTATCAGTCTTGCAAAGTCAGGACACTCTGCCATTTGTAGCAAATCAGTTACTGCTTGTATATTTATAGCTTTATTGTATAGAAAAAAGAATAGATGGAAATGTAGAATAGAAAAAGAAACGATTTATATAAAATTATGAGATAAAATATGTTTTAACTTAAGATTGTTTGCACTCGGGAGCGTTTTCACCCTTGGCAGGTTGCTGCAACATAAATTAAGAGTTAGCTTGATCAGCTTTCAAAGCAGAAAGGAAATATACTTACGGCATCATCATCATCGTCCTCATCTTCGTCTTCCTCATCATCTTCGGACTCGTTATCTTCATCGGTAAGGAAATCATCCTATCATAGAAGCAAAAAGATAGCGTTGATACGGGCGTCCATTATCATTGCAGCCATCACATCTCTTACCTCAAAATCATCCTCATCATCATAGTCCTCGTAATCAAGAGCCTTGCCAGTAAAGAAATCAACAGCATGGGGAATAATCTTTTCCTTAAATTCCTCACCTAAATATCGCATCAAATGATTAGTCAAATGTCTAATAGCTATGCAGAGTTGAAATCCTTACCCATCTCGTAATCAGCCTCCAACTTGGCATCCAAACCTTCGGCTTCCTCTTCGTCAAGTTCAGCATCTTCATCAGGGATAGTAGGAGGGTTGAAGAAGTTGAAGAAGGTCTCAGCAGGGACAGTGCGCTTCACGACACGAGTCTTGTTGGTACCCTTATGGCGTTGCTTCTTGGTCTCGACAGTGACAGTCAAGTCCTTACCTTCCTTCCAGTTGATCTTGCAACCTTCAGCGAAATCGTAAACATAATCACCACCGCTGACATTGTCTTGGTAATGATAGGTCTTGGTAAGAACCTTATCAGTGAAGTAGTCATTCTCAGAGAACTCGAATTCGATACGGAAACCAGGCTTTTCAAGATAGGTCATGCGAATATCAACCAAATGCTTGAGAGCATCGCAATCTTCTTCAGAGATGGTCTCACCGATTTGGGGATGAGTCTTCAAGGCGGTCAACCAGAATTCGGGAATACCAGCGACATTTTCTTCGTCCTCCTTATCTTCCTCAATCTTCTCAGCTGCAGGCTCTTGTTCATCTTCGCTATCCTCATCAACCTTGGCACCAATAGCGACTTCCTCTTCGGTAGGTTCATACTTGCCAGCAACAACCTCAGCACGCTTGTTGTAATAAGGACGATACAACTCGAGGTATTTCTTTTCTAAAGCCAAAACCTCTTCTTGAAATTTACCCTCGAGTTCAGTATGCTTAGATTGGAGGTACTTGAGACCGTTGATACGACGTTGAACAGCAGCAGGAAGAGGCTCACCAACGAGGTTGCCCAATTTGCCTTGGAGCATGCTCATGAGAGCAGGGTTGCTAGCAGCAGCACCTATTTATAAGCTAATAAGTTTCGGCCATCAATAACAGCGTGTCATTGGGATCTTACCAGAGGTAGTGATAGTTTCCATTTCTTCAGTAATAGCTGGGATAGAAGGGTTAAAGTGAGAGTTGATAGGAGCTGTGTTGATGGGGGTGTTTTGAGGTGTAGGTGCAGTAGCTTTCTTATTTTTGATATCAACTATGGATACATCATGTTAGGATTCCATTGTCAGAAAATGATGGGGCTATCTCTCTACTCTTACCTGCTTGCTGATCCATTAAATAGAGGAAGAAAGAAACAAAGAAGAAACTTTTTGAACAGACAAGAAAAGAAAAAAAAAAAATCACTCCAGTTGATTTTGTGTCCTAGCCCTTTTTCATTTCGAAATTGAAGGTTTTAACTTAAAATCTTAGGGCTTGGAAAGGTTATTTTGCTAGGAAAAACTTTTTTTGTGACTAGAAATCAACCCATTTTTATTTTTCACCCCAACAAAATTACATTGCATCTTGAATTTATCCCCAAGAACTAAACAGGATTCAATCAAAATGTTCAAAAAGAGGGTCCAAGTGTTTGATGAAAGGCGGGGACGGGCACTTTTCTACTATGCTATGCGCATGCTATTGCCATTTCTCGATGGAAATGGTAATCCAAGATGTCAATCATCATGCAATCTCCAGAGATGTTATGTGGCATGAGTGATATTGCACTGGATGTGGTCATTTCTAATGATTAACGTCAGCCTTTGTAGCAAGAATATTGGGCATGTAAATGTTGTGCTACATGCTTATTAAAAAAGATGTTTGCGGCTGCGTTCCTTTGCCAAAACGCTACCTTTTGCTATGATCTACATTTCATTAATGCGTGCTGGAAGAGTTCTTGATCTGATTTGAAGGGTTTTTGTTCTCACACACAATAGCGGGGAAAGTCCGCTATGTACTCCAGGTTTATGGCTATGGCTGGTTACCATAGAAACCAACATGCAGATGTATCCTATGGACAGTTGATTCAAAAATTAGGCATTTGATTAGATTACAGCTCTTGAAATGACAGACTGTGTTCTGATGTTCAAATGTCAAGAGCCCTTGGAGCTGTTTGAATATAATTACGATAAAGCCATCTGTAGCTTGCATTTGATGAAGATCCATTTGGATGGTGCTAGATACTGCTCATTGACCTGCCATTAAGTTTCCGCCTAGATCAGAAATATGCACCTAAAAGGTACACATTAAATGATTGTGTCTATGTTGGTACTGCAAATGATTAAACGTAGGGACCTTTGTGATATCTCGATATACAAAATACCTAGTTGGATTGAAAGGTTCCATGGTTCTAAATTTGGGGTTCCTAAAACCTGCTACGCATTATAATATAAGCAATGTACATTATCTGTTTGAAAAAAGTTGCATGATTTCTCTCTCCCGATCAACAATGCGGAAGAAGGTTGCTTAATGATCCGCTCTTTTTCTAATACATTCAGATTACATGGCACGGAAATCCGGAAAGTGAGGATCATTGTGTAGCAGTGATTGATTTTGGCTTTATTTTTCTTTTCAAAAAGGTGAACTTCAATATATATATCCATGAAAATCACAATTGATTCATCAGAAAGGATTGGGGCTACTCCACGAAAACAATAACATTTTGTCTCTCCCCCCAAAAATTATTCCTCATCATCGCCAAATGGCTGTTCAAACAAGTAATTTGCTGCTAACTCTATTTTACGCACATTAAATACGTCAGTATCCTTCCCACAAATATCTTTGAAAAAAAACATGTTACCTTCGTTCTTATCACAAGCAAAGTAAGCTTCGATGACTTGGTGTCTTGGGAATCCAAGAGCCATCAACTACACCACGCCTGTCAGTATTACTGATCTCTTCAACCCATCTTTTCTACACTTACTCTATCAATAGCATCCTTCTCCTCTTGAGTCACTTGAATCATGGATGATCCAGGTGGAGCGCCCTCCTCATCCTCAGCACCTTCCAACAAGGTCTGTAAAAATCCATTAGGATCAGCGTTGATGGATCTAAGAAGTTCGGGATTTGATTGACCTAATTGTTGAAGTAAAGGTTGGAGCAAAGCAGGATTTGATTGCACCAATTGACGAATTTGTTGAAAATGAGGTGTGTTTCTCAAACCAGAAAAGTCAGTGTTTCCACCAGCAGATTGCTGTTGTTGCTGTTGTTGCTGGGCTTGTTGTTGAGCAGCAGCGAATAAGTTGAGTGGAGCACCTATTCAGGTACACAGAAAATGTCAGGCACGCTACATTTGAGCTTTCAAAATCAACTTACCTGAAGCATTGTCTGTTGTAGGAGAAGTAGCTTGTGCGGCAGAGGGAGAAGTAGCGCCGGCAGTAGCAGCAGCAGCGGCAGGTTCTTGTTGAGCTTGTTGATTGGCGTTCATTTCATCCAAGATGTGTTGAGGAATACCCTATCACATCACATTGTCAGCCATCATTCTCTGATTCAAGCCTAAATACCTACATTGAACAAATATTCAACAGCTCTATCAGGGTTGTTGAAACTAGCGCGAAGAGCACGGACACACTGTTCACGCTCAAAGCCCATTTCCATCAAATTTTGAATGACGCTATCAAGTTGAGATCCTGTCACTGTGTAATGTGATTGTAAGCGATTGGAATTTCTGCATAGTATCAGCAATTAATTACCTAATGAGGTGTCAGTATTCTCAGGTTGAGCTGAGGGAGACTCAGTAGTGGGGGCAGGAGCTTCTGGGACAGGAGCTTCTGGAACAGCAACTGGGGCAGCAGCAGCAGCAGCGGCGGCAGCAGGGGCAGGGGCAGGGGTAGCTTCTTGAGGTTTCGCCTCTGTAGGAGTGGCAACCTTGGGTGTACTAGCAGCAGAGGTAGTGGCCTTGGGCTATTTGATCAAGATCGAGTTAGATTTGCAAAGACGTATGGATTAAAATTGGCAGGAATCTACCTTTGAGACCATCACCACCAAGAAATCCTTCTCACTGATATTGTATTCTTCCACCTTTTTATCATCTACGAGAATCTTGCCTATAAATAATCAACGAATGGTGAATACCGTGCATGTTTCTGTGGCTAATCTTCCAAGGTGCTGCTTACCAGAAAAGATGAGCTTTTGTTGAGCAACAGGGTGTCCCTGAGATTGTTCAATCTTCTCTTTAACAGAAAGGATCTAATGTTGCGATGATTATGTTGTGTTCATACTGGCATATGCTTATCATTCTACAAAATATTTACGGAATCGGATGTATCAACATCAAGCTTGAATTGTTTTTGTTGGAGTGTTTTAATAGTGATTTGCTAGATGAAAAAAAAAAAAAAGCACATTAAGTGATCATTGCATGTGTAGATGACAAGCGATGAATGTACCAGAGCACCCATGGTAAGTTTTGCTGTTGTTGTTTAATAGAAAAAGAAGAGAAAAGGAAAAAATTTGCTTGGCTGTACTGCGACACGTACTCATTCTTTCTCCTCCATAATGTGGTGTTTTCCAGTAGATCTTTTATCGCTCAAAGCTATGTTCATTCCTCGCACATGGTGAGGTCATTGCGGTTGAGTGTGTATATATATATATATATACCATTTCCCGCCACAACCCAGTGTATAGAACAAAGCCAAGCATGGTTCATCCATGTGTGTATATAAATATCTCATGTAAAAAAAAGGGGGAATGCGTCCCAATCTTTCAATAAGCCATTTTGGCTGAAAACCTCTCATGGTGTATCCCCAAATAGAGTTCCTCATTTTTTGCTTGATATGCATGCAATTGCTACAGACAATCACCAGATCTTTTTGTTTGGTAAGCCAAATCATTTGCAAGTTGCGGAACAGTGTGAACTTTAAAATTTATGTTGATTTTTTTCCGTGCGATTTTGCCATGTGTGCTTGTTATCCAGCGTTTTCCGCCTCCTCTCTTGCTTCAGATGATCAACAATAGGGTACTTGATCCAAACACACATTTGAAAACAAAGAGCAGAAGCACGGGGTGCGTTCGAGTTATACAAGAACATTTGAAAAAGGTTCAAAGATTTTGCATTATAGCATGGCGGGAATAAGTCTAAATTTTTGTTTATTACACATCTATTACACAATCGAATTTTTGAGAACAAAAAAGATATAAATACCTGTGCGTTTTCCTGGTTCCTTGCTTCATTATCATCTCTTTGTTCTTTTCATCATGCTGGCTTCTCCATTACCCACAGTAACTCCTGCTTCATCGCCAAATACCACTGCAATGACCAGCGTCTATACTCGACAACAACGATATTATAATGATTGGCCCTTGAATGAATTGGAAGAGAATGTTATGACATTAGCGACATCAATCAAACTTCAACAAGAGCAACAGCAAAGACAAATGGCAATCAAGCGCTGTCGATCCTCGGTTGTTCGCTGCAATTTATGTCAGAGAAAGTTTCACTCCAAAGGAAATTTAGCCAACCATCAACAACTCTATCAACATTAAAAAAAGCATATGATAAACCACTATACCCCCTCTTCTCGTTCTCGCTCTCTCACTCCCCCCCCCCTCTCCCCCTCATCATCATTTCATATTAGCTACACCTACTTTGTATATATATATATATAACTCTTTTACTATCATATCGCATTAATAATAATAAAAAAAAAGTATATGATGAACATCATATCACAGTTGGTTTTCCTAAAAAAGCCAGTGTCATCATGCTCTTCATTTTCGCAATGGTTACCCCATTAATTTAACCACGTTTATTTGCTTGTATTTCCCTCACGACCCGGTAAGGTTGTACATGAATTGTCATGATGAAACGGAGGGTTAAATTAAACGGCTCCATGGTTGCTCACGGTAAATGTGGGGTAGCATAGCTTAATTCAATCAAAGCACTGCAATCACTCATTCTTGCATATATCATGCGCATCATGTTCAACGACACATACACGGATACCATGAGCCATTAAACACATAATCCCTTTATTCAACTTTACTAATCTCTGTTTCTTGACATGTAGGATCAGAGAAAGCCAGAGAGTGAAACCGGATAAATGTTGCATTCAAAGCTAATTATTTTTTGTACATGTATAAAATCCTCCTTTCATCGTAATCATGATGTTTACTTTGCTGGTTTCTTGGGAACGTTGAATAGAGTTTTGAGTTGTTCTGCAGTAAATGCTTCATCAGATTCAGGGCGGACTTCAGGGAACAGGTTGCTTAATAATGTAGGGAAAATTCGATTGTTCGATTTAGGGTCACCGCGAGTGTATTGGTAGCCCCAGTTGGTCAAATTAGCAGGCGTAAGTTCCTTGGTCAAAATACGATCTATATAGTAAGAGGCCATGATATCATGATGAGCTATTTTTTGTTTTCCTCTCCTTTGCATCTAGACTTACCGTTTCGTAACAAATTGACAGCATCACTTAAAATGGCTCTTCCCATGGTATACGGCAATCTCAAGCCAGTCTGCTTGGTTCGCTCTACCATCAAACCAGCATACAGTTCCACATTATCAGGATGACCGTACAGTTCTCTCAATGCGTCTTGCACTTCCTTCTTCTCTGAGAAATCCTCAAATGTATCCAAGGTTGTCAGCTTGAGGAATTTGCGGAAATCGTTAAAGTAACATGTATCTAGGATGCGAGCCTGGTTGATGCCAGCAATTTCGACATGCTCCAATGCAGCTGGTGTGTTGCGGCCGTTACCAATTTCTGAAGCTGATTGCTTGTATCCATTCTTGAGCACACGAAGAATATCAGCATCTGCAAAGCTGCCATCTTCACCACGATGCGCACTGGCGATTGGCAGACCTCTTGCCAACTCCTCAGGGCTAGCCTTAACGAAATACTCGTTGAAACCTTCTAGTAGCTGATCGAAAATACCCACATTTTGTGCGCCCTTGTTAATCAATGAACGATCTAGACCAGGATGACGCTCTTCCTGACAACTGGCCTGCATCTTTGCCATCAACAGATTCATCACTTGAGTCAACCATTCTGAGTCTTCTTTGCCGATGGCTGCATGCCAACGATAGATGGCGTTGAATTCAATTGAGACTGCATTGCCGTAGACGGGATCACTTGGTGTAGCAAAGGGATCAAGAACGAAATCCGAGTCAGCACTTGTACCAATGATTGTACGGATGTAGTCATGGATAATGACGTTGGCATAGCAACCATTGTTGATCAAGCGAGCAGTCTGGAACAGCTTCTCATCTTGCTCTTCCTTGGTTTGCAATCGCTTACCAGGTCCATAGGAGAAGCGCTCGTTTTCATTAATCTCCAACAGCTTCTTTGCAATGTAGTTGTGGTTACGAGAGAAGACTACGATCAAACCGGCGACACCGGCAGGCTGAATGACGAGACGCTTGTCGAACCATTGATCGGGCTTTAAGAGACCATATTCCATTTGACGCACTGATTCTTGATCCGCACGATTATAGCCATATAACGAGGACCTTTTTGCCATAAGACTCTGTTAGTTACACAGAGACATTTAAGCTTTTTTTTTGTACAAATGCTACTTACAAATCTAAATAACTAGTGGTCAAGTTGCGCATTGGGTCGCTTGAATCCGTATAGAACAAATCATGAGTAATGATGATGGCTAGATACAATAACATCATGTTGATGCCACCCTTGTGTTCTTCGAACACTCCATCGGGTCTCTTGAGCAATTTGTCAAACACATCTTTGGGCGATGGTAGATTGGTATTGTTGTTGCTGGTGCTTGTGACTGAGCGAGTGTAGTTGGATCCAGCTTTGCCCTGTGCATGAGACGCCTGTCAATATGGACCTTTCACTCCCAAGAGACGCGAGTCTACTTACCACACCTGGGAACACAACACTGTTGTAGCTACCATCTGCTGTACGGAATTGGTTGCCCACATAGTTGATGTACGGCTTGTGGATATCATCCTAAAAATAGCAAGTTAGAGCCCTGTTTACCAGATTGAATTTGCACCCAACGTACATAGAAGTTAGCAATGAGTGGCTGAGTCACTATGTACACCAAATCGCTATATTCAGGTCCTAGGCTGCCCAAAATGTTCATGACAGTTTCAAACGTGTTGTTGCGATCGTTTGTAGGTGCATTCTTACTGAGCAATCTAAGGTACGGCTCATATTAGCTACCATGTCTGTTGCCACGCATACCGTCCACATACCTCTCTATAATGGCCCCCAACAAAACGAATTGATCCTTGAATGGCAAGCTTACAATGTCCTTAATGGCGCCTGCATTGGTTGGGTTGATGTGAAAAGCAGCCTTGATATTCTCAGCTAATGCGTCCAAAGTCCATTTACTGCCAGTAGGAGCGCTGGAAGGTGATGGAGGGACCACAGATCGAGTGCCATTGGCTTTTGGCATCTGCTTTGTTTGCTGCATTTGATGCGTAATGGCTTTGAAACTCTTGAGGAGATCCTCTTCCTCCATGTCATGCTTGATCATATTAAGATAGCTCTTGACTGAATTGGGTTCTTGAGGTTGCGGCTGTTGCTGTTGCTGATGTCCAAATGGATTAGTAAAAGGCGCCATTTGTTTCATACGCATTCGTTTCATGTTTACCTTTAGTACAGGAGAGGGTCCCAACATGTTGTTTGTGTGTTATTGCAAGTAGAGAAAGGCGATAAAGGGAGATAAAAGGGGAAGAGGAAAAGCACAAAAGTTTAATCATATAAAGGACATTTAAATACATATTATGGTCTCTTTTTTTTTTGACGCCTTCGATTGCCTTTATAAGATGATTGCCGTTTTACAAGCATTGCTTTCGCATGATTTTTGTCGCATGATTTTTGTCGCATGCTTTGCATCGCTCCTCTTTGTGCCTACCGTACTATACTATAGCCTATCACTGATCCTTGGGTTTGAGATGCAAGACGCTTGTTGTTGTCATGTTGCTTACACCTTGCTAAACATGGTGGGACAAGCTTACAGCGTAGCTACATTCAAATTCAGGAACAAGATACACTCTGTATGCAAATTGGCCGTTGGCTTGATCACACACCCAAGTGCATTTGCATGCGCTTGCATCGAGCAAACAAATGATATTCATAGGCACACACACATACACACATCTAGTCCTCTCTTCATTGATACTCGTCCTCTCTCAAGCCCCTATGTAATACCAAGCATTGGTGGAACTCTGGACATTATCTCCGGAATTTTCGGTGCATTGAATGAAAATGGACAATTCCTAATTCTATTTATTCAAGTTAAGCGTTCTTGACAGATGAAAATATAAATCCTCTTCGAGTATCGTCTGCCACCTTTTCTAATAAATGCTCATCGTCTATGCTCCAGCGCTCTTCCATGGGGATCTCGGCTAAACCCACCTTCTTGAGCTTTTTCTTGTACTCAACTCGTTTCTCTCTAAGCCTACATTCTCCATCTAAGAATTACTAGCGGATTGCCTTATTGTACGTATCCACTTACTGATCTCGTTGCTTATTGGATCTATAGCCAGTTGTGATACAAAAAGCTGTATTAGGTTCCATGGCCTGGTGAATCTCTTTGAACATGCTGAAAAATGCGCGTCTTCTCTCTTGCTCAGACTCTTGAGGAAGATCAAACCTAGCAAGGACAAGGTCTCTGTGCTTGTGCTGCTCAATCACCTTTTGAGTCACTTCTTCATCCGTTTGCTTGGGGCAGTAGTCCTCTGTATTGTTCTCGGCCAATTTGTTCTTCATCAACTGACTGAGGTCTGCATTACATTCAATCACTGCACCCTGCTGGTTACTACGCTTTAAAAAGTCTATGATAGTTTCCACTTGAGATAACCCAGCTAGACCGTAATTGATGCCATAGCGAAGTTTTCTTTCCAGTAATTCTAGACTGGCTATAGCATCTTCACAGGGATCATGACCCTTGTCCTCCCCTGGCTTTTTATCCTCGTCTCTAATCTGGATGGTACGTTTCAAATAGCGTACAGTCAAATCACGGAGCGATGGTTTGTAAGGTGGCCCGTTTTTGTGGTGGTATATGATGGCAGTATCGATAATGTAAGGATGTCTCATCTTAAGGCACTTCATGTCATTCACTAATCCATGGCCCACAAGGATCGTGTCTCCATCCACATATTTCTGTATCTTCTTTTGGATATCGGCTAATGTCGTGCTGATGCCTATTAAAGACTTTTCGTCCACTCCACTGATATGTGTAACGTAGTCTGTGATCTCTTCACTGGGCTTGACGAGTTCATTGATCAGTTGATTATTATCTACATACAACACACAGAATGAGAAGTTGTTCTCATGCTACATATCCTTATATAGTACCTCTATCCACCAGCGCTACTCGAGTCACTGCATAGCCATTCACTGTTTTGCACTATCCTGCGGTTTAGCGTTTCTATTACCCTCATACCAATCGTATCTACTAACCATTTCACAATCCAAAGCAACCAACCTTTTGGGTGTTAATCCTGCACCAGGCAATGTGTCCACCCAGCCGTCCTCTAATACGCTGTATGGATCCAAGCTCATGGGGATAGGAAAGTCCTCCATCTGCAATTCTTCTTTGGTCATGATCAAAACTTCTGGAACAATGGCTCTCTTCTGATCAGGATCTAGCGTGTGCATGCATGCATGTAAGCAACAGCGTCATATCATGCTATGTAATTTGTCATCCCCCAAGATACCTTTATCCTCTTCCTCTCTCTTCTTTTTGATCTCGCCCTTGGACAATGGCACTTCTAAAAGGTCCAGGAACCGATCATGTACTCGCTTATACTGATCAAATCCAGCAGCACTAATCAAACCCAAGATTTCCGTGCTTTCGTCATCCATTTGCTTAATATACTCGTAAAGAGGTTCAGCTTTCATTTGATCATACACTGCAGCTGAATCTGCTTTCGATACGTTACGAGCTTCAATGGGTAGTCCCATTTCAAAAGGGTCGTAGATAGGGACATCAATCATGATTGCTCTTCTTACTGGTGCTACACCGGGAAAATCAGGAATTTCAGCAAGACGTGCTTGTTTACCCTTGGGCGCTAGTGCTGTCAACATCAAATTGCGAGCATCCTTCATTGTTGCAAAATCATTGAAGTGCTTAAAGAAAAGCTTTGGTTGAATGACCTACCCTACACGCTTGAATATCCAATGATACATATCAACCGATATGCTCACCTACGAGTTCGTTATCAATGACATGGTACGACATGCCGAGCTTGCGAGCCTTGGCTGCCTTCTTTTTCTGCTTGGCTGTCAATTTGAGATCATCGTCATCGGTTCTTGGCTTTTTGATGTCTTCTTTTACTAAAATATGAAATGACATGTCAACATCCGTCCTTGCCGTAATGAGCTGCATGGTCATTACTTTCATCACTCATGTTGGGATCTGATGGTCGTTTAGTCCAGGCTTTATCCGTGGTGGTAATTGTAGCACTACCGGAATCCATAAGTTGACAAGAAAAAATCAAAAGAGACAGAAAAAGACAAACAAAGAGCCAGTGTTGAAGAGAATTTTTTAAGCCAATCAAAGCAGCTTCATGCAAGGCGCGGTCAGTCAAGTCAAGAAAAGGTGCACTGTGGCGTGTCCTTCTACCATGAATATCATCGATTGAATGCAAGGCAATGGAAGAAGAGTGCAAGAAGTGCGCCACAGTTAGGCGATAAAAAGCCCCTCAAATTCATAGCTGAATACTTCCTGTTCGTATACATTTAGTAAATTTTACAAGATGAATATTCACAACTGATAATCTTCATAGCATCGGAATTCGTTTTTCCTTTAATTAGTACTATGGAGTATCTTGCGAAGCTAGAAGAAGACGCACCCCTTCACTTGGTAGGGCTAGGCTTGATAACCCAAAGTTGTCACTAGCTAAATAGCAATATAATGCATATTTCAACCGTTGCGTCGCTTAAAGGTGCTATTTTTTATATCGACAATCTTTGCAGCAGTCTGTAACAAGTTTGCAGAGAATTGAGCTGCGCATCAAATAATACCACTCTTGGTAGGTACGGTACAGACTGGATTCAAACAAGCCTGTTTTCCAAATCTTTGATGGTTTTCAAAGGAGAATATCTCTATCAGTTCACTTTTAGCATCATTCATTGCATAGACACAAGATTTACCTATTTTTTAAGATCTTGCTGGGAGCCGTAGCATCAGTTTCACGGATCTACAGCGGCCAATAGGTCAGCCTCGGCCAAGTTGTTGAATAACGATCGCCCAAGGCTAACTCTTGCTACAGTTGCGCATATAGAATTCTTTTTGTGCGCTACTATTAATCATACCATGCCCTAAACTTATTTTATAGACTTGAGTACCACATAGATACTATCATGGTGTTATTAAAAAATGGCGTGTTTTTGTCACTGTAAACTTCAATTTGAGAGTCGAAAAAATAATTTTGTCAAGAAAGCTTCGTAGGTATATAAATGAGGTTTTATTTTGTAGAGCAAACAAAGAGGAGAAAAATTCGATTAATGGAGAAGCCAGATTGAGTTGACAGTTAATCAAGGAATAGCGTCCAAACACTGTTCCCTTTTTATATATTGGTTCTGTTACACTTTCCTCGATCATATTTTTGACAGCCAATGTAAGGACTTAAAATTCCTTTATATGCTTGGCAACTGCTCAAATTAGGCATGCAATGGTCTTGGAATAAAGTCTTTAGAATCAAAATAGTGCGTGCAAAGAAGGAATTTACCCTTTCTGGTAAAATGCGCAGTACACCTTTGGCTCTTTGCCAAATCACAACCAAGCAAGCTATTGCCAAGCGGTACTAAATAGAACGCTTCCGAGCACTGGATCTATCAATTTATTCTACGTAATGACTTGTAGTTAACAAGTTCCTATATGAAACTCATCACTCAAAGCCGAAAATCGACTTATTTTAAAAATCCTTTTTTTCTCAGCAATAAATTATCCAATCTAGAACCCAATTACACCATCATCGTTTTTCTGGCAAAATTTTGCTATAGTATTATGCTCTTTCAAAGCTCTGGCTTCATACAAAGAAAATTGTAGTTAGATAGTTCAACCTGAAAATAGAAAATAATTCTGTAAATCCGGCATTTGATATGTAGTAAAGTACAGCGATCCAAGAAAATTAAATATGCGGCAGATCTACGTCAAGCAAACCATAAACGGCTGAAGACATGATACTGGAAAGTGGAGAGGCCTGTCTCGAAAAATAATCAAATTTTTAAGCGCGGAAGATATGCATAGGCTAAATTGGAAATCTCAATATTTCTGAATAAAGCAAGTTACAGTTGTCTAGTCTTAACAACAAGATTCTTCAGCATGTCATGTATCTATTGATAATTTGAAACCAGCAAGTTAATATGGCCCGTTTCGTACGCTCCAATCTTTAAAATGCTTGATCAAATTCATACTTGTGTAGTGTACACATGCGATAAGTCTACGGAGCTTCAATTTTTAATGTGCTGAATCAGGATCCATGGGATTCCAAAATCTATCGACCTTAACATTACGCGTTTCTTGATAGTAAACACCCCTTCAAACTTATATGAAACTTGTAGAAAATTCAAATGAGAATACAATGGTATCTATATCAAGTGTTTGCTGTACATTATTCAGCTAACATTTGATAAGTTAAATTTTGCGACTTTTTCACTGTTTTTAAAAGATTAATCAGTATCTGTCATCAGAACATTTTGTTAAGCATTACTAAACATTGTAGACCAAAAAATTTCCTATCAAATGAGCTATTGCTTGAAGCTCTGGCATTGTAATGAAATAGCCACCCAAACGCAACTTAATTGAAAACCGAAATTCACCGAATAGCACTCATTCAAATTCATGCTATTTGGATCTATTAGTAAAAGCGCTCAAACGTACATCAACAACCATTTAAACATACTAAAGTAAAGATACACGCTTATATCGCACATCGTGTGAATGAATCACTCCTAATCACAGTGTATTCAATCACACCCATGATGGCCGTAATAAGAGATGTTATCTTTATCCAAATAAAATCAAATCAATAACAAGCATATTCAAATATGACCACTATGCCCTGCTGCCATAGTTGCACAATATCCCAGATAAAGAGTTTCATACTTCAATAACAAACGTCACACTTTAAACCATCAAGGTTACTCAAATCAACCCTTATGGCCAGTGCTCTTGCATTGATTACCACTTTAAATCAAACATCAACAACATTTGCCAGATATCGCAATAGCAGCACCTATTGCTCTCTATCATCACTAATCCTACAAGCCAGTTGCAAGTGTATAAATACTCTTCTTTTTTTTTTTTTTTTACTCAATTTCAGGACTTTCAGTTCATTTTATATACAAATAAAATACAATTGATTTCTATTGTATTTTACTATTGCTTTATTTTTTTGTGAAATCTATTTAAACCTGATTTCACTGCAGTATGCATGTCTGTAGCATGTCTCATATATAGTACAAGTCTGTAGTACATAAAGTATCTGTAGCTAGTATCACGGATATAAGCATGTGTCTTATAGCGTGGATCATAAAGTGCACATCTGAAGCGACAAGCTCATATTGCATTAACCTTGGTGCTTATCCAGATATGGTAAACATCCGTAGTCAATGTCGGAATACAAGTATAAGTCTATAGCGCCATCCATGTTCGTGGTGCCATATATAGCCTATATCTTATATAGTATGAATCTTATAGTACTAGCGTATCTGAAGTCCATATCTTCTTGTAGTATAAATCAATATCGTACATCTAATCCAGTGTACATACAGTTTATATCTAAATCTGGTAACTGGATGAACTGTCGGAATGCAGATCATAGTGGGTGTATTCCACACCATCGGTAAAGGTAGAACCATAATTGGGTTCCTCCGCTGTTATCATGCCGCAGAAAACAATATTACCACCATCTCCCTGGACTTGAGCCTCAGTTTGATGAGGCATCAACTCTGTTAAGCACAAAGAATAAACGGATTATTATTTGTAGCATATAAAAAATGTTCAATATTATAGAAATAAGAAAAAACTTATTTGAATAAGATTAGACACAAAAACTAAAGTTTTATTGATGAAGACAAGCGTTATTCTATTTATACTAAGTTCTGAATGCCAAAGTAGCAATTTATCTTGTACAACGCTTATCACATCTGATGAACCTCAGTATTTAGATAGCTGAGATGCACTTCAATTATCATAGCTTGTCCATGTTGTTGCACAACACAGACATATTTACCCATCAAGAATACCTTAATCTTTGTAGACAGTTGTAGCCCTTCTGGCACGACAGTTACTCGTTGGTGTGGTGTTCTGGTGCATTGATACACTCATATAATTGATATAAAATTGCATGTTATCTCTTGATGGTGCGTTGATACTGTTATTCTAGTCGATGCGATCTTTATTTGGTGCGTTGCTAATCAATGTTGGTGTTTACTCATTGGTGTCGTTTCTATTTTGTTGTTGTTACATATCCATGTACTCGTGGTGCTCTTGTCCAGTTTAGCCGAAGATCTAATCAATGTTTGGAGCCGATATTGTTGAATCGATGGATTAGTCAGGGATCTAAATGAGATTGCGCGCTAATAGCCAAGGATTACCAATTTGAACTGTGGATTTGACCCTGGACTTTGACTCAGAATAGATGCAAACCAATTGATGAGGAATCGGTACTATATTCGAGTAGAATTACAACAATGGAATTGGGGCGTTACTATTTTAAACAATGGATCAACTCAAGAACGCGGGTACATGAAATTGACATTAGATTAAAAGCAATTCAATTTGAGGTTACATTTTGATCAGGGCACTGATATTCGGATCTGAATTGAGTTTGACAGGAGAATAACAATAGAACAATAGCATATATAAATAGCATTTTGAATGGCATCTTAATAAACATTATCCATTTTCTTCTTATTTTAACCTGGAGTTTAGTTACTAGTGTCAATTTAGTACGGACAACCTAAAGAACCCTTGAATTCATCTCTTATAATTATTGGGATAGTTCTTATAGTCTTCCTTTCCACACAACATTACTTATATCTTGACTATCAACTATCAAAATAATCATTAGAGAAAGTTTAATATTTATTAAAATTGATACTCTGCGGTGCTGGTTTTGTGAAATGTGTAGCGAAATGTGTGGAAGATCTTGCAGTAATAGTTGATCCCGAGACAAAACCAAGTAATTAGAGCTGTTTAAGTTGCTGATGTGTTGCAATAACCTTGATGTAGACAGTATCTCAGCGATTAAATGTGTATATAAAGTTATGTACCTAAAAGATTTAAACGTAGTAAGAAAGTTCAATTTATTTCCAATGTGTTGTGTAGATCAAAATATATGTCAAATTATAAAATGTAAGAGTAACGGGTTTAAACACCAGTTCAGGAACAGCGTTCTGATAGGCTCAGAGTTCAGATACCGCTTCTTGGAATCAACACCACCACAAAATCCTTTTACCATCATGACAA